CCAGGTGTGGGGGCTCCGGCCTGTCATCCCAGCACTTTGGAAGGCTGAGGAGAAAAGGCTGTGTGAGGCTAGGAGTTCCAGACCAGCCTGGGCAACATGGTGAAACTCTGTCTCTACAAAAAAATACAAAAATCAGCTGGGTGTAGTGGCACACACCTGCAGTCTCAGCTGCTCAGGGGCCTGAGGCTGGAGGATCACTTGAGCCCAGGAAGTTGAGGCTGCAGTGAGCCACGATTGTGCCACTGTACTTTATCTTGGGTTATAGAATGAGACACTGTCTCAGAAGAAAAGAGAAGAAAAGAAAAAAAAAAATCAGCCAGGCTCATGGCTCACCCCTGTAATCCCAGCAACTGGGAGGCTAAAGGCTGGAGGATCACTTGAGGCCAGGAGTTCCAGACTAGCCTGGATAACATAGTGAGACCTCATCTTTAAAAAAAATTGTTTTAAAACTGAAACAAAAAATCAAATCTTACGCCAGGCATGGTGGTGCACACCTGCAGTTGCAGCAACTTGGAAGGCTGAGGTGGGAGGCTGCAGTGAGCTATATGATCGTACTGCGCCCCCGTCTGGGCTATGGAGTGAGACCCTGTCTCAAAAAAGGAAAGAAAAAAAAAATCTTTGCAGACTCCATAGTCAACCTAATCTGAGGCAGCTCTTTACATAAATGGCTTGTGTAAAAGCAAACTTAAAAATAAATGTTTTGATAATTAGAAGACTATCCTGGATATTTATCACTAATGTTTGCTTTAAAGTGTTTGATATCTTCATATGCTCAAACAGAAAGACAGAGAGAGAGAGAGAGAGAAGAAAGAAAGAAAAAAGACGGGGGGAATAAAAGCACATTTTTCCATGTCTCCAGGAAAGAACACTTACCACTGAGCACTTCATGCTGGGGTACTAGAGGACCACAAATTAAAGAATCTAATGGATGGGTCACCTCACTTGATGACACACAGAGACCACTGAGGCCACTTAATGCTAAACCCTGAGCCAACATGCTGTTGAAGAACTAAGGAAGCCCAGACAGGCTGCATTTTAGTCCCTGTAGAAACGTCTAGGATATGTCAGGAACAGCCAATAGAGGCACCAAGATAAAATATGACAGGAGTGACTGCCAGCTTCAGCAGGCACCATTCAAACTGAGTCCAACACTCTATCCTCACACAGAGCAGCTCTGCAGAGGCACACTCCTCTTAGAGCACAACAGGCGAAGTCATAGCTAGCTCTGAGTCATCCAAATGCTTCCAAATGACTAGCCTATGGTTCCTTCACTCAGAAACCAAACCTGACCAGCAGACACTTAGAAAAGTCCAATAAGCCAATTTTCCCAATTACATTTAAGCAAGTCTGTCTGCTCCATGCTTCCTTGTTTTCTCAGCAGAATATCTCATTCTCTTACTTGCAGAGATAAAGACACAGTGGACGCTCTCCCTTCCTCAATCTAACCAAACAAAACTAAACTCATATTGGGGGGACTAAGATGTTATGCCTAATGGGAAAAAAGAAAAGAAGAGCACTCGGCCGGGCACGGTGGTTCACAGCTGTAATCCCAGCACTTTGGGAGGCCAAGGTGCACAGATCACTAGGTCAGGAGGTTGAGAGCATCCTGGCTAACACGGTGAAACTCCTGTCTCTACCAAAAATACAAAAATTAGCCAGGCATGGTGGCATGCCTGTAGTCTGTTACTCGGGAGGCTGTGGCAGGAGAATCACTTGAACCCAAGAGGTGGATGTTGTAGTGAGCCAAGATCGTGAGGCTGCACTCCAGCCTGAGTGACAGAGTTAGACTCTGTCTCAAAAACAAACAAAAAGAAACAACTGCATTCAATCACCAGAGAAGCTAAGTCAGTGTGATTTAGATCGGCACCCCAACATCAAGGACAAGCAGATTGAATGCACCCACTTATACGTGGTACACCTCTTGAGTGCTAGGGATACAAAACCATAATGGTCTGATTCACTAAACCCAAGGATGGCACAGTCCAGGAGCTGTAAGGAAGGGGCCTGAAGGTTTGAGACATTCTGACAAATGGCAAATTTGAAGGAGGGAGTAGGAATGGATTTGCACCCTCAAGGAGAGGTAAGCTGTGCTAGGCAGACTTGGGAGGGCACTCCTGGCAGGGACAAGCTCAATGGGAGCAAAGTCCCGAAGGAGGGACTCTACAGGGTAGATTGCACAACAGTGGGAAGGGCGGCTAGTCTGCACTGGAGAATTAGCAAAAGAAGCCTTGAGAGATAATGCTGATGAAGACAGGTTGAACCAGATTAGAGGAACCTTGGAAGTTAGGTTCAGACTTTATCCTATTGACCATGAGAGCCTTCCAAGCAGGGAGGTGACATAAATGTAAGCAAGGAGGTGATATAAACAACAGTCAGTTTTAGGAATAAGCAACAGGGATTTCTCTCTTCAGTTAATTTATCCTCACTGTGGGTCCTTTTGTCAAACCCAGAGCAACCAGAATCTATGCCTGGTGAAATAAGTGTTCCGCATTATATCCTGGGACACTTTGCCTAACACCTAGGCCCTAAAAATGCAATCCAAATATTTCACCTTCCTCCCACACACACATTGTATATACACACACATTTCCACATATGTGTGTGTATAAAATACATGTGTATATACATTTTATACACATAGATAATATATATTATATATGGTGGTACATGTATATAATATATATAATTATGTATATATATATATATTATATTATGTAATTATATGTATAAAATTATATATTTTTGTGATAGGGTCTCATAATATCACCCAGGCTGGAGTGCAATGTCGTGATGGTGGCTTACTGCACCCTCAACCTCCCAGGCTCAAGCGATCCTCCCACTTCAGCCTCCTCAGTAGCTAGAACCACAGGCACAGGTAATCATGCCCAGCTACATTTTTTTCATATTTATTGTAAAGACGGGAGTTTTGCTAAGTTGCCATGCTGGTCTTGAACCCTTGGGCTCAAGGAATCCTCCTGCCTCTCCCACTCAAATTGTTGGGATTACAGACATGAGTCACTGCACCTTGCCCAAATATTTTTCTTGACTGATAAGTGACACAGTAAACTGACTCCAGAACATAAAAACAAAAAATTAAAAACATAGTATACTTGTTCCTTGGTCTATGGCAAGAAAAACCACATTTTTTAAACATGTTTGCATTAATTACGCTCAACTCAATAGTTTTGCAAAGAACTTTTAATCCTGTTAAAATTAGAGTTGATAACATTTCTGTAGCCATTAGGCACTGTTAAACATGCTTTCTCCTAGGGGCCAGGTGAGTTGGCTCATGCCTGTAGCTTCAGCACTTTTGGGAGGCCAAGGCGGGCAGATCATCTGAGGTCAGTAGTTTTGAGACCAGCCTGATCAACATGGCAAAACCTGTTTTTACTAAAAATACAAAAATTACCCAGGTGTGGTGATGCAAGCCTGTAATCCCAGCTACTTGGGAGGCTGAGACAGGAGAATCGCTTGAACGCAGAGGCGGCGGTTGCAGTGAGCCGAGATTGCGCCACTGCTCTTCAGTCTGGGCGACAGAGCGAGACTCTTAGCCTCAAAACCAAACAAACAAACAAACAACAAAAAAAAGAACCCTGAGGCTGAAGCAACATCTCTACCCATTTCCGAGGTGCAACTATGGGAGAGACTAAGATTCTAAAAGTAACCTAAGAGCAAAAAAGAAAATGTTTTTTGAATTCAGGGAAAACAAAGAATAATAATAAATATATAACGGATCACAATCTAAAAAAACATAGCAAATATGAGACTGTTAAAAAACAAAACAAAACCAAAAAGCCCTGACTCCTAGCTATAGAGTTGAAAAGCCCCTAGACACGTTAAGTATCTCTTAATTGAGACTCCACTTCATTAACCAGTGAGGTGAGGAAAAACAGGACCTCAGTAAGGAAGTAAAGTCAAAGATTAAATTACAAACAGGCCAGATGAATGGACCTGAGAGGAAGTGATAAAATTCTCAACACACTCAGCCGAGTTTATGGTAACGAATCACCCCAGTCTAACTGCCATTGTAATCACCCCGCTTAGGGCAGAAATCTTCCCACCGGACCTCGACAACCTCACTCCTTGATAAAAAGTTAAAGGAGCCTGACTTTCCACCTGGGTCAAAGCCCCTGCACATCCATTGTTAGGGATCCAAAGCACCACCACCAGCAACCCCTGCGCACAAGCCCGGGGCTCTCCAGCACCGCTGTTTTGAATGCCAAGTGCCCACCCAGCACAGGGCCTGGCACCGTTTCCTTAATAAAATGTCCTTTTCTCTTCTCCAGGATGAAACTCAGGATCCGGAAGGCAGCCTTACACCCTCTCCAGACAGGCTCCGTTAAGGGATGAGTGCGCACAAACAGCCCCAGGGGCCAGCCACCCCCTTCCCGTGCCACAGCTTCCTGTCCCTTCCATCACCTCCACGTCGCGACTCTAGTTTCCATCCAGTTCACAACTGTCATCAAGATCCCAGTCCCTGGAGGAAAGAGGGGAGGGCGGCTTTCTACCCCCAACTCCTCACTTAGGGGCGTCTGAGATGAACCTACGAAAAGGGAGGCCAGAAAGCACTGGGACCATGTGCGCCTGTCCATGTGCCAACCCGGGCTGGTCACCTACTCCATGGTGAAACTCGCGTTGGGCGAACGGGAGCAAGCCACAGGGCTGCTGCCCCAAATGAGCAGCAGGCGCGCCCCCCTCACACCTCAACGTTTCTCGGGTGTGAAGTGCCGGAGCTTGGGATGCAGGCGCGGGATTACGGTCCCGAAGCTCAGCGGCACTTGGAACCACTCCGAGTCCCCACACCCTGGGCGACTTGCCCGGCTGCGCTCCCGGGAGAGGGCTCCGACCGCCCCTGGCTCCCAGAGCTGCGCAGCGGGCAGGTCAGCGGGGTCGAGCCCCGGCCGGGGTCCTCCGCCGGACTCTCCGCAAGCCTGGCAGGGCCGCTGCCCGCGAACTTGGCCGGGTGGGCCGGGCCTGAACGAGGTGGGGCGCGCACTCACCAACCCCGTACTTCTGCCTCTTGGTCGGGATCCAGCGGGCCATGGCGGCGACCTCGCCCCGCGGCGGTGGAGCGGCGACTGCGGCGGCAGCAGCAGCGACTGAGGCGGCTACAGCTCCTCGGGCTCCGGCCGCCGCGGCGCCGCGCCCCTGCGTGCCCCGGGCGCTTCCGCCATGTTCCGCCAAACTTCGCTAGACTCCGCGGGCCGCCTCCCCGCCGCGCCGCCCGCGGTCACCTGCTGGGCCGGGCGGCCGCGCAGCCGTGCGCGCCCCTCCCGGCGCCGCCCCGGCCCCTCCCGTCGGCCGCGCCCTCAGCCAGCCGGGGCCGCCTCCGAGCCGCGGGCGCCCGGCCTCTCCCGCCTGCGCCGCTCTCTGCGCTCTGCCGGGCGGGGGCCGACGGCGGCTCCGCCTCGCGCGCTTCCCAGGAGCGGCTTCTCCGGCCGGCGGGGCTCTGACTCTGGCGGTGCGTTGCCTTTCGCCCGTCCTCCCCACCCGGCTGTTACCCGGAGACGGGGTCCCAGGGGTCAGGCTCCTGACAGAGGGCTGCTCTGGAGGCACCGGGCACACCCAGGCGGGCCGGGCGGCGAGGAGTGCGGGCTGCGCTCCCACGGCGTGCGCGGGGCCCTTGGGGAGCGGAAAGGATCAGCCAGAACGGCTTCTTGCCCCGGGGCACTGCCGGTGCCTGGTACTCAGCGGGCGCGCAATAAATATTTGTTGAATGAATGAGCAGTTGACCGTTGCCTTCGCCCCCTGGAGCTTGAACCCGCGCCGCGAGCTCCGGAAGCCAGACTCGGAGCGGACTGGATCTCCCGGGACCACCGTTTAGAGCCTGGGAAGCAGAACGTGTGTCAGCCAGAGCGCGAGTGCGAGGGAGGCGTTCTCCTCAGAAGTATCGGACCGTTTCCTAGGGGATCCTCTGCAGGGAAGTTGTTTAGAAAGCCCTAATTTGGAAGCCCTGTATCAACAAACTCCGGGACCACCCCCTCAACCCCAGGCTGAAGAAACTTAGACCCTCATGCCCAGGGGGAAAGTCCACCCCGACACCTCCCTCTCCCAACCAGCCAGCAGCCCAGAGAGCATCCCCGCCGAGAAGGAGACGGGGCGCATCGCCGTCTGTTTTCCGTCACCGACTGCGTTTTCCTGACGAAGATCCCAAGGCTGGGGCTGCGGATTTGAACTGCCTTGGGCTCCAGGTGGCGCCCTCTCTGGAGCTCCCCTCTAGGAATTCACTCTCTCCTGGAGAATGAAAATCCAGGGTTTTTGCCGCTACCTTGTTTAGAAGTAACTTTGCAACCGGAGTCAGTGACCAGCTTAATTACGTTCGTCGTCGAAGAAGATGCCTCCAGAGGGAAATTATATCCTCCTTGTAGTCTGTGAAGGTTTTCATGCGTTTTTAGAACATGCAAGAAAGGAAGAAAAACGTAGTAAAAATATACAAAATAGTAAAGTTTCACTGCACAGTTAGTGCATTTTAACTTTGGTGGTTTTTTGCAAAACCAGATCTGAATTTTTTTTTTTAAGTCCTACTCACGGTGCTTAACTACTAGAGCTGGCTTTTCTTCTTCATCAACCAATAGGTATTTATTCACGATGGTTAACGATAATTTAAAAAATTCCTGTGACACCCGGAAATAATTCCAACATCTTCCCTAAAATAATTTCTCTTCCTCCATCAGTATATCATGATTCTAATTTCCCAGGTTAGGTCATTTCTTTTTCCTTCTTTCCGCAAATATTAGGTGCCTACGCATTAAGTGCCAGGCATTGCTCTAAGAACGGGGTGCAGCGGTGAGTACAGTCAAATATCTCCCTTCACAAAGCTTCCAATCTAGACGGGGAGAGTAAGACAATAAAGAAACGTACAGTAAACAGTAAACAGTACGTACAGTAAAACGTACAGTTCCTCTAAGCCTTAGAGGAACATGGGAAGCAGGGAGGATAGGACGTTCAGGGTGCTGCTGTTTAGATGGAGTGGTCTGGGAATGCAGCTCTGCTAAGCTGAAGTTGAGGTGTAGACCTGAAGGAAGTAAAGATTCCAGGGGAAAGGATTCTGGAGAAAAGGAACAGCAAATGCAAAGGACACCAAGCAGGTTTGGCAGGTTCCCACATTAGCAAGGAATTCTGGGTGGTGATAGCAGAGTAACAGGTGAGAGGACACTCGGTGTAAGAGGCAGGGGGGTGCCAGATACAACAACCCTGGCAGGCATATGGACTTTGTATATTACCACTACAAGAGAGGTTCGGCGGGCTTGGAGCCAAGCTGGGACATGTTGAACTTGCCTGCTGTGGTATGATTCCATTGTAAAGGGGCAAGGGAAGTCCCCATGGTTTCAGTCATTCAGTCAAGATATGAAGGTAGTTGGGTCCAGGAGGATAGGGGTGGAGGGGAAAAAGTAGTTGGGTTCTTGACACGTGTGAAACTAGAACCTGGCCAGATTGGTGGCTCACACCTGTAATCCCAGCATTTGGGGGAGGCTGAGGTGGGAGGATCACTTAAGGTCAGCAGTTCGAAATCAGCCTGGGCAACATAGTGAGACCCCCCTCTGCTATATATATATATATGTTGGGCATGGTGGCTGTGCCTGTGGTCCTATCTACTCAGGAGACTGAGGTGGGAGAATTGCTTGAGCCCAGGAGGTCGAGGCTAGCAATGAGCTATGACTGCATCACTGCAGGAAAAAAACCAACAGAAGGGCCACGTGAACAGCAGGGGGATTTACCACTGTGAGAATTCTAACGGTCTCAGTCTTTTTTTTTTTTTTTTTTGGAAATTTTCCCCCAGAAAGAGATATACTTACATTTTTTTAAAGAGCCCTACCCCTATTGTACACACTTCAGGCCCCACACACCTTGGTTTTTGCCCCTGAATGTGAGATACAACCTGGGTCAAGGATGACTCTTAAGCCAGCTAGGTGGCAGGTGCCTGTCATCCCAGCTGCTCAGGAGGCTGAGGCAAGAGGGCTGCTTGAGTCCAGGAGTTCCAGGCTGCAGTGAGCTATGCCAATCAGGTGTGTGCACTAATTTTCACATCAATATGGTGACATCCTGGGAGCAGGTCCCTAAGGTCCCAGGTTGCCTAAGGAGGGGTGAACAGATCCAGGTCAAAATTGGAGTGGGTCAATTATTTGGAAAGCCCTAATTTAGAAGCCCTATATCCGGAAACTCCATTTCTCCTCCTTAGCTGAAGAAATTTAGGCCTTCCCATCCAGGGGAAATGTCTACCCAAAAACCTCCCTATTTCAACTGGCCAGCAGCCTAGAGAGCATCCCTGGGTAGAAAGGGACAGGATGCATCCTTGTCTTTTCTTTCCTTCTTTCTTTCTTTCTTTTTTTTTTTTTTTTTTTTTTTGAGATGGAGTCTTGCTCTGTTGCTCAGGCTGTAGTAAAATGGTGCAGTCTTGACTCACTGCAACCTCTGCCTCCCAGGTTCAAGTGATTCTCCTGCCTCAGCCTCCTAAGTAGCTGGGAGTACAGGCACACACCACCACACCTGGCTAATTTTTGTAATTTTAGTAGAGACAGGATTTCTTTATGTTGGCCAGGCTGGCCTGGAACTCCTGAACTTGTGATCCGCCCACCTAGGCCTCCCAGAGTGCTGGGATTACAGGCAAGAGCCACGCACCCAGCCATCCTTGTCTTTTCTCTGTCACTGACTGTGTTTTCTTGACAAAGATCCCGTAGCCAAGACTTCACATTTGAATTACCTTGAGCTCCAGGTGGCACCCCCTCTTGAGCTCCCCTTCTGATCAATAATGGGATGACACCTGTGAATTGCCACTATATTTCAGCTTGGACAACGTAGCAAGACCCTGCCTCTAAAAAAAATATTCCTTAAAAACAAAAAGAATGACGCTAAGATTTGGGGCTTGGACAGCTAATGAGTAGAGTTGCCATTGTCTTGGTCACCATTGATATCTGCTTTGTCTTTACCCTTTCCTGTCCCAGTTGCTCTGGATCGAAGTTTTCCTTTCAATATTTCTTTAGGATCCACTTCTTCACGCCTTCCTCAGCAACTTCTCCATGTGACCCTTAAGAGATAAAGCACTCTCCAGTGGATTATATGACCTGCCTGTTGTGGATTCGGAGCTTCTAAAAGGTATATGGGTTATCTGTGCTCAGGGAAAGTGGATGACCTCTGCTCTCTGACCGCAGGTATATTTCAAATTTAATATAAATCAGAATGTTCATGCTCTTATCCAGCGGAACTGGTTTCTGCCAAAACGATTTCAACTGCCTCATCCCACGCTTGCACTAAAGTCTTCTTTTTCCAATACTTGAAGTTTGATTGGGGGCACTGGAGATTTCAAATTTGCCAACAATTGCTTCAAGACAGTTGGAGGAAAATGGAAAATTTTAATTACAGCTTTCAGTATGTATATCCTTTCCTTCTGAAAACTGAAATCCACTCACTTTGCTATATCAGATGGCTAAATGCCAGTTTGAATGTCCTTTCAAATCATAAAAGCAGAGCTGTTCAAAGTCTTTTATTAGAATGAGGCTTAAAATTAGCGAGTCAACCAGACAGGTACAGGTATTGATCGACTTATGACCTATGCAACTTACGACCATTCGACTTTACGACCACAATCGCTAGCCACGACTGCTCCGCGTCTGGCAGCGCAAACGTTGCCCAGCTGGGCGTACGACAGTGCAGACCAGCTTCCGGCAGCACTACCATCTCCGCGTGCATATAGCCTACTCAACTTACGACCAAATCGTGTTACGACCAGTCTGTCAGAACCAATCGTGGTCGTAAGTCGAGTACTAGCTGTAGTTGGAATGACAGCATGATGCCCAGAAATATCCTTTTCTTTTCCCTCTGATATCTTTTTAGAAGAAACATTAAGCATATTCCACAACCAGAGATCTTCAGACTCCAAAATCCCTGCAAATACAAACACACTTATGCACACGGACACCTGCAGGCTCTGCTTAAAGGAGCCATGGAGAAAGAAATGAGGATAAGTGACTTTGAGGATTAGTTTGACATGAGTATTGGGACTATCCCTTACAATGCCTTAGAGACAAGATGTGAAGAGAACTGGCAAAGGCCTCACCTGCCCTGTTGATTACCAAGTCTATTTTGGCAAATCAGGCTGATCTGATGGCTTCTCTGTGAGATGTGGATTCTTTTAAAGTGGTTTTTTGTTTTTGTTTTCTCTCTCTCTCTCTCTCTCTCTCTCTCTCTCTCTCTAGATAGAGGAAGATCATTCTTTGATCCCATATGGGTGGGTGGCT